TCCCTTCAAGCTCGTTGCCAGATATACTGCTTTCTGCTCCTCTGTCCATCCGTTCATCTCTGCCAGTAGCTCAAATTGTGCTATATATGCTTTCCACGGTGCCTTCCCATCGAATTCCTGTGGCTTCCTTCGCACTGGATCACTCCTATTACTGACATTCATATCTGGGATGTGACTTCTAACTGGGCTGAAGATGTCTGCATTAGGGTTTAGCTGCAGGATCTGGAAGGGGCTTGCATTGTCTGGGGCTGGTTAAGTCGATGGCTAATGTATCCTCTTTGTGTAAAAGACAATAAATCATCCTTTAATGTATCTAATTCGCTTTTAAATTTACTAATGTTTTCCATTTGCACTTTTTACCACTGTTGTTGACTTTCCTGTAGTTGCTGCTGACTTTCTGCCTGTTTCCTTTCTTGTTCCAGTTGCCACTGCTATAATCTCTCTTCTTGTTTCTTTCCTTTTTCCTCCAACAACTGCTGTAATCTTTCTTCTTGTTTATTTTGTTGTTCAAGCTGCCACTGTTGCATGTTTTCTTGCAACTGCTGTAATCTCTCTTCTTGTTTCTTTTCTTTTTCCTCCAACAACTGCTGTAATCTCTCTTCCTGTTCTTCGTGTTTATTTTGCTGTTCTTGTAGTGCTGCTAAGCTGTAGTTTGATTTGCCGCTTCTCGTTTCCATTTTTGTTCCGTCTCACTCTCTGACATCAATTTGTTAAGTCTCCGTTCGTTAGTTAATTTTCCGTAAATTTGTTCTGACGAAACTTTAGCGACACAAGTCCTTTCTTAAATAAAACTGGTTTATTCTTTCTGAATACAACTTTTCGATACACTTAATTTAACAGTCGCGCTATAATAAACGCTATAATTCACCATGAACTTCTCACGTGCTCAACAATATTATCTCTGTCAGCATACATTCAATTACTCCTTGTTCCTTCACGTTGTGACTATCTTATATATACCAGACTACCCCCAATCTAGTAGTCTTCCGACAATTCACGAAGGTTCGAGAAGGGCATGGCGTGATACTAGTCACGTGACCTCGCTGAAGCAACATATATAATTCGCTTTTAAATTTACTAATGTTTTCCATTTGTACTTCTTGCCACT